GTTGTATGTCATAGGTTCACATCTTTCTAGTTGCTGTACGTGGGACTCGGCCTCACGTTGGACGGAGAAGTGGTGCCTCGGGGCGCTCCCGGGATCCGAACCCGGGCAGCCAGCATCAGAGCGCGCGCACTTAACCGCTAAGCCACGGAGCCGGCCCGAAAATGTATATTTTTAACATAATTTTCCCCAAATAAAATAGGCCAATGATATAGAAGAGAGAGATTTTTTTAGTTTGACACGGCTCCTTTTAGAAATTTTAAGTTTTAACTTTAAATTTAGGGTGAATCTTACTCCGCACTGCTAGATCACATTTTTTTTTTACTACTCTGGAGAGATGCCAGGATTAGATAAGTAGTTCTATGATGAAATATCATTAAATGATTAGAATCTTTCACTCAGGAAATAATGCACCCTCTGGATAGAGGAATGGACTTTGGTTGACCCTCCTCTAATGCACAAGGTACACTCAGTAAATTTAGATTAATTACTAACCTGGGGATTCCTCCTTTGGGATGTTGAAATCCATTATTAACGAAAAGCTTTATTTTGACCCAGTACCACCTCCATATCCCAGTATTTAAGAAGTCTGCCATTTTACTGTTGCCTTTCTAAGGCTTGGACTCAGCTGCTCTGAGGTAGGATCTTAGATTTTCATGGAAATCAGATAAAACAGTCCTCATATGCTAGGATGTTTTCTTTAGGCATCACTCTATGACTATTAGAAAATCTCTTCAAGATTAAGAAGGATGAATTTGTGCACTTACTTTTTGGCCACCAGACTATTGAAAAAGGGATAATTTAGCTTAAAATATGGAAAGCTAAGGAGAATCAAGTAATAGTTTAAAAGGCATTAATAAATTTACAGAAGATAAAAGGGGCTTGTAAGTGCTGATTGGTTGGAATAGAGAGCTTAGTATTCATTAAGAAGAGTTTTCGGATATTAACGGGTAGGTGGCAAGTGCATATATTACTAAAGGAGAAGCGCTGATTTCCCTCTGAATATTTTTAAGGCAAGGATTAGCCTATTTGTATGTAATTAAGTGTGGATGAAGGTTTTTTGCATGCTTGGGTGATTAAGATATGTTGAATGTCAGTCAGGAATGGCCACAAAAGAAGACAGAAGAGAGGCTCAGGATAAAACAGTTTGTTATATTTACAAATCCTGGAGACAGGAGGTACGGCACGCTACGCAGGGCCAAATGGGCAAGTCACCAGAGTGGTCAGAAGGCAGAAGGCAAGCGCAAGATGAAAGCGCTAGGCCACAGCCTTTATTGGAGTTTCCACTGGAAAGACAAAGCAGGGCAGGGGGAACAGTTTAGGATTGGCTAGTTTGAATAATTTTATCAGGATTTAGTGTGGTCTCTGGTTGCCTGGTACCTAGTCCTGGGATGACTAAAGCTGAGGAATACTGTCTCCAAGGGTGCATATGCCAGATGGAGGAGGGCTGGCTCTGGATTTGTTGGTTTGTATATCAAAGACATGATTCCAGCTGGGCCCTTTGCTATCTCTAAGAATTGACAAGCCAGGGAAGGGCAGTCTCTCCACAGCTAGAAAGGTTTTTTAAGATGTCAAAACATCAAAATAAACAGAAAATTTAAAATATATCCATACAGGATATCAGAAAAGATTGGTCCAAGACTTCATCTTGGACAGCCCTTCTTTCTGGTAGAATATTGCCTAATCTCACTTGGAAGTCTCTTCTTACAAGATGCTATGAGGGTCACAAACTGTGCTGGATTTCTGTGTTTTCTCCCAGAACAAATCCAGGCCTGTTGTCCTGAAACATGCAGCTTGTACCAGCCGGCACCTTGCAGAGAGACCTTATTACCTAGGTCTTATTACTTCTCTCCACATAGCAGACCACAGGCGGGATCAACACCTTTTACAAAACTCACCCATCTCTTTCCAGTGCACAGATCCAAAGCTTCCATTCACAGTACCATCCACACCTTGGCTGGATCTTCCTCCATCCCCCTGTCCTAACAAGGCTGGGTGATGTTATAACCAGTCTGGGAGGCAGGGGATTCTCTGTCTTGAACATCAGAAAGGCCCGGGTCTGATATCATGCAAATGAAAGGTTTTTTGTGTTTTTTTTTTTTTTAGAAAACATTCTCTTTGAGGAGGGAAAGGAAAGAAAACCTGAGAGCCTTGAGCAGTGGAGAATGATGATAGTGGAGGAAAGGTTACCTGATGGGGAATGGAATCTGGGATTTTGTATGTGTGAATAAACCAAATCACACATTACTTTAAGAAACAGCATCAACACTAACATTAAAATTAGATCCTGGGAACTAATATAAACAGAAATAGAACATAAAATATCAGGGTTCATAATGTAGATATTCATTGTTACTGGTTACTTGTCGTGCCAAGTATCCCATAGTATAATATTAATTATACATTTTGACCATGTGTCACATTAGTTTTTATATACATGATTCATTGACAAAAGTAAAATATGCTCCTTTGTACTAAGTCTCTTAGCATGCTACTCTTCAAGCAGCGTCTATTGCTTACACTTACACGTTTTTTCTGTTGCGCGCACGCACACACACACAGACACAAGCAACTTGGATCGAATTTGTTGTTCTTTTATGCACTGAGTCTCTGATTGTTTTAAAAATAAGAAAGCTGGCTCAAATAATATCTTTCCTTTCCTTCAGCTTTTGTATTCTATTATTCTAGGATCTACTATAAGACAGGATCTGGGAGTTAGAAAATTTTAATTCCTTAATCAAAGAGATTTGAGACAATGAAAGGGATTTATTCTTTTGAATACTCTGTGGAGTCAAATCTGAGTGTCTATATAAAATAAAATTCTCTGGCTCATATTTCTTTTTTTTTTTTTTGGTGAGGAAGTTTAACCTTGAGCTAACATCCATTGCCAATCGTCCTCTTTTTGCTGAGGAAGATTGGCCCTGGGCTAACATCCTGTGCCCATCTTCTTCTACTTTATATGTAGGATGCCTGCCACAGCATGGCTTGATGAGTAACACATAGGTCCATTCCCGGGATCTGAACCTGTGAGCCCCAGGCTGCCAAAGCAGAACCCACGATCTTAGCCACTATGTCACCAGGCCGGTCTGGCCCATATATTGATTCAAAAGTAATTTATTTCTTAGGCAATTTTCAGATTGTTTGATCACATTCTTTGCTATTTCAGTTCTTCACTGAATTTTTAAAGGGATGACTAGAAGCTGATTTGATACTATCAGTAAGTGATATACAAAATCTACAATGTGTCTAAGTGAAAAAAAAATATTTTTGGCCAAGATCAAGTTGTTGCCTGCATGTAGGAATATTTTAATATCCAACCAGTTATTGCAGAACTCTATAAACACAATTTTAGTTGTAAAATCTTAAATTCAGTCTCTCTGTACATGAGTCAGAGCTGTGGTTGTCACAAGAAAATCTTTCACATATTAAAGAGGGCAGAAGCAGCTAACTTTTATCAAGGTTGTTGAGAATTAATATTTGACTTCCAGGTAGGGTTTATTAAGTATCCAGGCATTGATTTTTCTCCTCCTCAACTGATAAGGTGTGATAAATTTAAGTCAACACAAAATTACTTTTTATTTTCCCCCTCTGAAATTTTACTTATTTATCTAGGATATTATTCATAACTCCATCTTTGATGAACACTAAGAAGAAAAAAAGTCTCTCTATTGCTCCAATTATTTTTGCTTCCACTTAAAGGGGGATTTATTCTTTCTTGATGCTTCAGAGACTTTATATCTGACTATTGTGGAGCCAAAAATTCCAGGTATACTTATAGTATTGGTGGCTGGTACATTTTACAGAAATATACTTCTTCAGTAATTCTGTCACTGAAATGGGAAGAGGTACACTACAATATAATAATAACAATAAGTGATAATAATAGTAATAATAAACTCATCCCTCAATATTACTGAATATATCCAAATGATGCACATTTACATTCCTCAAGAATAAAAAGTATGAGAATTGTTTCCATTTAGCTTAAGGCAGTTTTAATGCTATCTTTTTCTCTGTTAATTCAGGAATTTCTTTCCCATCTGGAGTTGTCTTTACTTATAAAAATGAAAGATCAATAACATGGTAGAAAAATAAATGCTAAGGAATGAAAAAAATAACTACATAACAATGAATTCCTAGGATATTATAACATTTTCATAAGTTTAGAATGCCACCCTGTCACCTTGATGGTAAACCCAAAGCCCTGCTTGTGGAATAAAGTTTATGGTTGTCCTAATTCAAGATTTATCACCCTAAATTATCTTGTGAGAACAAAGAGACCAAACTGGTTAAAGTAATCCATGGCCAAAACTTGAACTTCTTTGGCACCACATCTGACCATAGCTCAGTGGACACTGACCCTCAAGTTAAGTTAATAGCACTACCTTGTTAATCCTTGATGTTCCAACCATTCACAAAGCTGTTTAATAACAGTAGCCAAAAAGGTTAAATTTATCTAGATTTATTTTCTCCATGTATATTTCCTACCAATTTATGAAATCACAAATGTATGTCTATGTATGATCTTAACAATATAATTATCTTAATGGCTGAGAACAATGTAAATTCAATGAACTATGAATATTGATTGCAAGGCAATGTAGAGAGGAAAGCACAGTTACCAACTCAGGAAATATTCAATCTAAAGTGATAAGATTATGGAAAGTATGTAGAAGATTGTTCAAAATAAAAATAAAACAAACCCTAAAGGTGGTATTGTATGAACTATTACATTTACATCTCACATCCATCCTAGAGGGATATAAACCTATGGTAAACTTTCACAGATGATGAAACTGAGTTAGTTTATAAATTAAGCTGCTCAATGTCACATAAACCATTAATATTGAAACCAGGATTCAATATGATTCTGAAGTCTATGTTCTTTTATTTATCTCACACTTCTTCTGACATACTATGCATGGTGGGCTCTCCCTAAGTATCAGATTAGTAATTAACCCACCAACATTTTGCCTTTGGAGCCTGAGGAGCTATCATGTGACATGGGCATAGAGGCCATTCTCCAGAACTCCACTGACTCCATCCTCTTGGGTCTCATCACCCATCCCACGTTCCCTGGGCTTATCTTTTCAGTGGTCTTCTCCATATTTTTGGTGGCTGTAATGGCCAATGTGGTCATGATTCTGCTCATCCACATGGATTCTCACCTCCACATGCCCATGTACTTCTTGCTCAGCCAGCTCTCCATCATGGACACAGTCTACATCTGCATCACCATCCCCAAGATGCTGCAGGACCTTCTGTCCAAAGAAAAGACTATCTCCTTTCTGGGTTGTGCTCTTCAGATATTCCTCCACTTGATCCTGATAGGAGGGGAATTTTTCCTGTTGGGCCTCATGGCCTATGACCAGTTTGTGGCTGTATGTAACCCCCTTCGGTACCCTCTCTTCATGAATGGCAGAATTTGCTTGTTCATGGTGGTGAGCTCCTGGGTTGGTGGCTCCTTGGATGGTTTCATGCTGACATCCTTCACCATGAGTTTCCCCTACTGTGGGTCCCGAGAGATCAATCACTTTTTCTGTGAGATCCCAGCAGTGCTAAAGCTGTCATGTGTTGACACGTCACTCTATGAGACGCTGGTGTATGCCTGCTGTGTACTGATGCTGCTCATCCCTATATCTGTAATTTTTGTCTCCTACATGTGCATCCTGCTCATCGTCCACCGGATGAACTCTACTGAGGGCCGGCATAAAGCCTTTGCTACCTGTTCCTCCCATATTATAGTAGTGAGCATATTCTATGGGGCAGCCTTCTATACCAATGTGCTGCCCTATTCCTACCACACACCGGGGAAAGACAAAGTTTTGTCCGCCTTCTACACCATCTTCACCCCCATGCTCAACCCGCTCATCTACAACTTGAGGAACAAAGATGTGGCCACAGCTCTAAGAAAAGTGCTGGAAAGATACACCTCCTCCCAGAGAATCAGAGTGGGAGAGGTGTAAAGAAAATACTAGAAGAGAAAGGGTATGAACATCCCTGGTACTGTGGCCAATGGCACACAACCATTCTAGAAAATATGTTCTTGGTTCTGAAAAATATTCTCTGCCATTTTAACAATCTTGAATTATCAAAATCATCATACTGCAAGCATCATTTAAGAACTATAGCCAAAGATGGCAAACACTTTAGCGTTAGTCAACTTGCTTATCTGGATTCACCAAAAAACATTTTCCAGAGAGCATTCTCTTCAAGTAGCACTAAACCAGACAGGCCAAATATCTCCTTGGAGTCCCAAATAAATATTTTTATATGTTACATGTGTTCATCTGTCTTTTGTGTTTGTACTACTGACCAAATTTTGAACAGAAATTGCAAGGAGCAGTCATCATGTCCTTGATGATTTAATGCCAAACATTCAGTACAAATTAAATATTTTCTAATGATAATAGTGTAGCAGCTTTATTTAGGAAACTTTTATACAGACAATTCAATTGTATTTGGCCTCTGTATTCTTAGTCACCTTTTATGAATGTTTGTGTTCTCTAACCACTGTAGGCAGTTATGATGCCTTTTTTTCACATAGAGTCTAATACGTGCCTAGAAATCAATATACATTTACTGATTGATTAAAAATTGATTTCTGTCATTAAGATAGTAATATTGCTATAATCCTTCAAAAACTTCATCCATGCCTTGATAATATGCTATAGATAAACATAGAATAAATAAATCAAAACATTTCATTAGCTAACTCAGCTCTCTTGGTCAATGGCCCTATTCTTAATCTCTCCAGCTTGTATACTGGTACAGAAATTTTTCTTCTTTTAATTAGCTTTCAGTTAAGTGTGGTGTTCTGATAGATGCAGGACTTTGATGGAACATTAACTAAACAAAGACCACACTCACTGATCCTTTTCTATCCATTTACCTAATTTTAACTTTCTACTGTATGTAATATCCTAAAATATAACAAATAAAAAAAAGTTTTGATTCACCTGGTGTTTATTTTCTCTATCAATAGAAGACTTAGAAAATGCTGCACACATTTTTGAGTGGTTTCATAGTTGACAAAGACTAAGAAATGGTTACTCAGCCTTATGTTATTCTAGTGTCAACATAGAGGGAAAAATGTTTCCTCCATAGATGTTGATGTAAGTAAAACATATTCTCATCAATATGCTATTCACAAAATTAGTTGTGCCTTGGAAGTTTCCTAATAACTTGATCTTACCCTGAAGTCAAACAAATAAATAGAAAAGAGATGGAAGAATGGCTTTGATGGATAAATCTCTTCAAGTGGAGAAACTGACCAGGATTCATTTATAAAATATCCACAATGTTCTTTTAATTCAGTTTCATTCCCTTTTAATTTTCTTGAGATGGCACTAATGCCTCCAGCTTTCTCTTTCTTCCTGCCTTTGTTTGCATCTCTATTGGTCTTTCCCTCCACAAAATCTTTCACTTCACAATTCTCTTTTCCCTCTACCCTGGACATTTGTGTCTTCTTTCCCATTTCCTCAGGGTCCTGACTTGACCTGGATTGCTATATATTAATATCTAACAGAGTTTTTGTTCTTACATTTACAAGATGAATCCTTTTCACATTTAACACGAGTATTTAACTTAATAAATATTTCAAAATTATGTGAAAACAATAGGTAAGAGAGGTGCATTTAGATGACTTCCTAGAAATGTCATATTAGTTAGTGATTGGGGCAGGGGAAGAGGGAACTTCTGTGATGTTGTTATGAATTTATTCCCCACCTCAATGGTGGTTGCATGGATGTGTTCATTTTGTCATAAATTATCAGTCTCATCACTTCTAATGTTTGCACTTTTCTGTTGTATGCTATACTTTAATATAATCTAATTCTTTTTTTAAATTACATCTTATACATTGTGGATGTCCTCTCCTCTCACTCATATGACAAGTCCTATCTTACAACGGATAAGCAAGGATTTTTCCCCAGTCATTGTACCAAATTATTATTTAAGATAATTTATTGTCCCTAGATATTCCTTTTTATTAAAAATCTATTGACTTGAGAGTGAAAATTATAAATTATAATAATTTAAAATTTTTCAAAAAGTGCCTAATTGTATGCTCACAAGATGTCAGGTTCTGTGCTAGATTATCGAGAAAAGATGAAGTGAAAACTGTCCCCATTTTCAAAGCACATTCAACTACATTATGTGATTTTAGTTCTGATCATCACAAAGTCCGACCAAGATTTGGAGAAAGAATTAGCTTCATGCAAGATGAAGAAGCTGATGTTCAGAGAAAATTATAGCCTCTCTCAAGCAAGAGTCAGATGGGAGCCTCAGAACCATGTCTTCTGACTTCTGGTCTGTGTTTTTGTGCCAAAACTTGCTATTAATTGATAGAAAAGAGAGAAGCATATGGTACAATGTGCAGCTTCTGATTCATGATAGTGACCTGGGGGAAAAAAATTCCTCTGGGAGTAACATGTTGATAAATCCATGCTCATTTTCTGTTGGATGCCAGCTGGTCTGGTCTACCAAGAACCTGACGATCCTTGTTGAGGGGCAGTCAGACCCCTGTGGAATTTTTCTATACGTGAGGAGTATGGACATAAAATTAACTGAACCCTTGCTTCCACATATTTATTTTCTTTATACAATAAATTTTAACAAGTATATTTACATAATATAAAAATTGTAATAGTTGATAGTATAAAGTCTACTTATTAAATACTTTATTAAATGCTTTATTGAATACCCAGGAAGATTTCAGACATGAAGGAGTGATGGAGAAAATGAAAATATTTAGAAGATTATTTAGCATAGAGTGGAAAATTCATACATCTGTCATCCATAAGGTAACAGTATATCCCTGCCAAGTTAGACTACTCACTTTGTACAAATGAAGTCCTGGTAACTGAAGTCTGATAACAATGTGAATACAAAATGCTTGAAACATCAGATCCTGACTACACACACAAGTGATTTACATGAGGAAGAACAATTGTAATAATGGTTAACATCATGACATTGAAAGGTTATTTAACTAAAACAACCAAGGCTTGTTCATAAATATATAATTAGCTAAAACCAGAAGCATTTTTGAATTTTTTTTCAAATGGATTGTGTTGGGAATAGGTCTTGTTAAACCTGAATGTCTTCTGTGGTCTCGTCACACATTTACCAACATCCCAGTGAGCGCTTCCTTCAAAATCCCAGGGATTCAAAATTCAAGAAAATATTTAAAGTTTCTGTTTCTGCTACATTACTTTGGTTTACACTACTAACTACAAATATAAAAATGATAAATACCTGTAACATCAACTCTATCCCATATTGCTTTACTTCATTTTCTTTAATTAGATTTTTTAGTTTATTCAATTATATTAGATATTACTCATCAACTTAGCAAGGACAGGGATCTTGATTTTCTTCCCTGATGCATCCCAAGCACCAGGAAATTTTCCTGATATAGAATATTTGTTTAAAACTTATTAGTTGAATTAATGAATGAATGCCATTTCATTTTAGAAAGCTTAGCACTCGAATATACAAATTTCAAAGGTTATATAATTCTTTTTTTCCTTTTTCTGAGAAATCCAGATTTGAAGAGTTGCAGTGGAAACTAAAAGTCAGAGAAATTAGGTGACTTTTACAAGCTCACACAGTATGTGTCAAGGGTGAAGCTAGACTCAAAAGAACCATACTTAAATTCCTTCCAACTTCACCAATTTTTATATCATTTCTGCTTAAGTATTTTGAAAACGTGCTTCCTGCGAAGAAACATTATTGGTTTTGCTAGATTTGTCATACAGGCCTGTTCACTTTTTGAGCAAACAGGAGATAAGTGTCATAGGTAGTCATTTGCTCAGGTGTGGAGACAAAAAGATGCTTTCTTCCATATTGACTGAAAACTTAGGTGTTAGAATGAGTCTTAGGATTACATATATCAGTTGACATTACCAAAGCTGTTTTTTCCCTGAATTTCCATAGTGTTTAACTGCAATGAGCTGTCCTCTCAATGAGTAACCTATAAACTTAGACACATGAAATCAAGAGACATGTCTGAGACCTCAGCTTCTGCAGAGCTGATGAAGGTGAAATAGAGACAGCTACTTCCCTACCTCCCTGGATAAACTGTGGGGGAACATCTATGAGAGAGAGTAACATAATTTTGACACAAGTCAGGCTGCCTGCAAGTAATAGTCATTTCAAGTTTGAAAGATTATAAAAACCTTTATCTTTGAGTGTTTTTCTGTACAAGACTACAACATCTTTTTTGTATGTACTCAGGAGTTTTGATACTGGACCTGGTGCGATCGGGGGGTCCCAGGTGAGACCTGGCCTTTAGTATGGGTTCTTGACCTCATGCTTGAGGGAACTCAAGAGCTGAGTCAGGAGAGATTATGCAAGTTTATTAAAAGGCAAAACCAGGCTGATTATAGCGAAGCTGAAGAAGGAAAGCAGGCTGGACTGACCCAGTGGGAACTGACCAACCAGCCCAGAGTGGGGCTTGGGGTCCTGATTTATGGTGGTTGAAGTGGGCAGCTAGGGATTGTTCAGTTTGAAATGGGGAGTCTGGCAGGCCACTTGGGACTAGTCAGTTTGAGATGGGAGTCAGGTGGGCCACTGGGGACTGGTCAGTTTGAAGTGGGAGTCAGATGGGTTGCTGGGGAGTGGTCAGTTTGAAGCTGGGACATTTGGGCAAGGGGAGGGGGATGCCTACGCAAAGGGAGGGTGATGTTCACAAAGTGTGGAGTTCCTGGAACTTGGGAGTCACAAGCAATGGTTAATCCAGATGCTGGGTGACAGCTGCCTCCTGCTGCTGCTCTGTCTGCTGCTCAGGAGACAGTTTTGGTTCTGCCTTTTCCCCGTCTCAACAGCAAGGGCAGATTCAGAAGAGAGAAAAAGTCGTGAATCCCTTGTTTACTGTAAATTATGCTGACATCAGACCCTGTCTAAGACAGCATGTTGATTTTAAGCCACAGAGTGATTGTGTCAAGTTTGTATATGTAAAACC